ATATATCCCGTGCTATGTGGTAACAGTTAGCAGCTGCTTCAGATTTTAAGTAAGCTGCCTATAAGAAACTGGAAACCAACATGGTTGTGAAATTTTCAAGTGATGTTATAAAACAACTCACATTTCACATCTTCTACATTCCAAGGTGAAGATTATCATGACATGTATAACTGAGGCCGAATTATATTTGAAAGCACAGTGCTATAATTAGTCTGATCTTTGATAATAAAAAGTGCTATGTGTCACCAGGACTATGTGCAAAGGTAGATATGTTTTCTATAGGTACACAGCATCTGAGTAAAATAAATATCAACAGAGTATCTGGAGAGCAAGTTAGATATAGGAACAGTGCACATACTGATGTTTTTATACCCACAATGCAGTGTTTTATAAAAAATATTGTAGATAAATTTATTTTCTCTTTTGAGCTTTTGTTAATGGAATAGAAATTTTATTAATATACACTTATATCATCTTCTCAAACATTTTTGTTCCACGAAAGGTATGATCATATAAAGATATGTTTTTACCACATGGAAGAGATGTGATCCATTTAAACATTTGTATTACATTCAAATGAAAAAATAGAGCATATAAACATAACATTGTTCAAAGGGACCTTTGAGGTCTTCTAGTCCAACCCCCAGCTCAGACAGAAACCCCTATACCATTTCAGACAAATGGTTATCCAATCTCTTCTTTAAAACTTCCAATGTTGGAGCATTTGCAACTTCTGGAAGCAAGTTGATTAATTGTTCTAACTGTCAGGAAATTCCTCCTTTGTTCTAGGTTGCTACTCTCCTTGATTAGTTTCCACCCATTGCTTCTAGTCCTACCTTCAGCTGCTTTGGAGAATAGCTTGACTCCCTCTTCTTTGTGGCAATTCCTGAAATATTGGAACACTGCTATCATGTCACCCCTAAGTTCTTCTTTTCATCAAACTAGACATACTAGACAACTGTTCTTTATATGCTTTAGCCTCCAGTCCCCTAATCATCTTTGTTGCTCTTCTCTGCACTAGAGTCTCAACGTCTTTTTTACATCGTGACGACCAAAACTGGATACAGTATTCCAAGCATGGCCATACCAAGGCATTATAAAAGTGGTATTAACCCTTAACGTGATCCTGATTCTATCCCTCTGTTTATGCAGCCTAGAACTACATATATCTACGAGATATGTATGTTTCCCCATGTATAACGTAATAATTAGAGTCCAGAAGCTGATACTTTCGTTTCTTGCTAATTGACCAGGTAGTCTGGATCTCAGATAATATAACCTGGGTTTGTGTAAGAGATATAATTAATCCTGAACACATCCTCTAAGTGAAACAATGCTGAAACTTAAGTAGACTTCTATAATTCAATATATTTTCCCTTTTATCCCCCATTCCTTTTCCCTCTCCCCATTTTTCTCTTCTGCTTTTAAATATACACATACTATTTGTATATTTATATGTCTTATTTTGCTATTTCCTTGTTTTCATTGGTTGGACTATAATCCCATCAAAACCTGGAAAGGGTTCAGCAAGTATTAGTCTTAATACAATTTAGCATAGATTTACATTCTTGTATTGTTTCATAAATTCTAATAGTACTTAGATTATTCATTGTAAAATTAATTGTAGCTTTATAAGATTCTTTTCCATTTTAATTCCTATACACTAATTTTACATTAATGATTTTATCTTTACCTGATTTTATTCTACCAATGTGACTTTTATTTCTATTTTAATGTAATTGTTACATTATAATTTCTATGTAGGTCCATGAGCAATATAAATTTGAATGATTGACTTATTTAAAATATGCTTACATAAATGCAATGTAGTCTCCAAAGAATTCATACAGGCCACATATATGCTATGAAATTTTGAAATTTAATTAATGATTACCAAATAGTAAATTAAATGCAAGTTATTACCATGCCCTGCAATCTTGGATGAAACGAAATGTTGCAGGGCTCAGATTCTTGCTGCAGGGCTCAGATTAATAGCTTTGGATGATGGATAGTTCTTATTAAGAAAAGAAAAAAGGGGAGTGTAAAGTTATTGATTCTTTTTTATCATTGCAACAATAAGATTAAGAGACATAGTTTCATTTATAATTCTGGATTCATTACAGAAATTGCATTGAAATTGTACAGAAATGGTATATGTGCTTCATTTCATTTGCTCTTTCACAACTCAATGTATACAGTAAAATTGCTTGGAATATTGTTAATAGTCTGCCATTGATAAGAATTCTCTCTTTTTTTTCTAAGGTTGTTTAATCAGGGTATTGATTCTTATATAAATATAATAACAAGTTGGTGAGGCCTTACTTGTGGGAAAAGAGCAGCCAGGACTATGGCAGGGGAGTTAAGTGTATCATCAGCTTAGAGTTGTTGCATTCTCACAAGCACTCCAAGTCCAACCACTCCTGAATTGCTTTGACCCTTATCTGGCACCAATTTAGTGTTGAACTTTAGTTGACCAGATTCTTAGACTTGAATAAATCTTCTATGCTGCAACCAGGGGTGGGATTCAGATATTTTAACAACTGGTTCTGTGGGCGTGGCTTAGTTGGTGGGTGTGGCTTGGTGGTCATGTGACTGGGTGGGTGTGGCCAACTCGACATCACTCATGTCAAGTGGCGCTTCTCCTTGCCTGGCCTCTCATGACAGTGGGGATGCTGCAACGGTCGTAAATGTGAAAAACAGTCATAAGTCACTTTTTTCAATGCCATGGTAACTTTGAATGGTCACAAAATTAACTGTTTTAAGTCAAGGATTACATGTACAAAAATACAAAAAGCTTCTTTGCTTGCAAAAAGCTGCCCTAAATACCAATCATTAGATTAAAAATACCTGCAAGCTGGAGGTACAAATCAGGCAGGGTGCCAGAGCACCTTGAGAAATTAAAATAGTTAAAATGCAGTGATAACTATCAGCAGCCAACTCTTGCTCATAAAGTGAAACCCTTTAGCAGAGAGGTCATTTAAGCTCTCCAGAAAGAGAACACCCAGGAAAAGCAATCCTTAGATCCATTTGCACCACTTAAAGATACCAGCTGGTCTCACTCATCTCACAAGATATCCTAAGGAAATCATCCAGATTTAAGGAAAGGTCACATGCCCCCCAGAAAGGCAGTAAAAAAATCAGTGCCAAGTTTGAATCCTGCCTCTTGGAAGTACACCCCAAAAGGACAGTGCCAGATACCACAAAAGCAGTGAAGGAAGATCCCCCTCCCCAGATAGAAAAAGAAACCATGAGGCAGGAAAAAATTCAAACACAATAAAAATAATTAAATCACAACAGTAGCTGTTGCTTGTTAAACCAATTACCAGAACAAATAGACACAGGAACTAGCCAGATTTATCAAACCAGTTTCTTTTCAGGAACAAAGATTAATCTTTTTCCTTCCAAACAAAGCTGAATAGGGAAAAATATCCCATCAATAAACACAGGATTAAACATCACCAAGCACAACATTAAACTTCACCAAAAACCAGTTTTAGACCAAAACTCAGAAAGGTTAAGTAAACTCACGTTTGAATGTCAATCTTTCTAACTAGCCAAGAAGAAGTATTTCCAGGGGAGTATTTCCTCCCAACAACAGTGTAAAAAGCTTAAAACAACCCTTCCCCTTTAAGAAAGTATCAAGAAAAACAAAACCTCCTTCAGAGACAGCAAGTCTAGGCATACTGCCAAGAATGTAATAAGGGTGGAAAAAAACAAAAGGAGCAAAGTTAGAAGAAATTTCTAACTACAGTTCTTCGAACTCCTTAGAAAGTTAACAAGGGGTTCTATAGAACCGGTCAGAACCGGTAGAATCCCACCCCTGGCTGCAACCTTACTGATGGTCCTAATTCTTTGCACTTGACTTCACTACACTGAAACCGAATCCTGACCAAATTAAAAAAAACTATGGTTGATGATTTATGGGTATATATATTTAGGTCTAAGTTTCCTCAACAACTTTGGGTCCTACCTCCCCCAAGTTTTGGTTGGGGATTTTCCTTAATTCATTATTGTCCTTGGAGACTCAGATAGAGTACCACAGGGGTCTCCAACCTTGGCAACTTTAAGACTTGTGGACTTCAACTC